ACCGGTATCCCTCCGCCGCCTCTCACAGCAGCTCAGGAAATAGTCCCGCCCTCTCCTCCACTCAGACACGCGGAGCGGCTGCTCCTCCCCCCGGGTGACACACAGCGCGGTGACTGTGCAAATCCCAGCCCGCAGCGGGAAGGGCGCCCAGCGAGCCGCAGGGGGGCGGGGGGAGCGCGGAGAGCCGGGACGCCTGGGTTCTGTTCCTGGCAAGCGGGGTCCCCGCTCCGTGCCTCGGTTTCCCCACCCCCGCCTGCAGCTACCGCCCCCGGGTTCCATGTGCGCCGCTGGGCGGTGGCTGAGGAGCCCCCGGGGGCTCGCCCGGAGAAAGGGTCCCGGGCACCGTCCGCTCGCGGGGATCAGATTTCCCGGATCAGGGATCTCTGGTCCCCCGGGTGCCAGCTCTACGCCCCCCCCCCCCCCCGACGGGCGCGCGCCTCTGGGGAGCAGCCCCAGCGGGAGGCCCGAGGCTGCAAAGATCCAGGTAGTGGCCTTCACCGCCTGCGTCTGCACATTTCCTCTTGAATTAAGTGAGAAACACGTGTGGGCCCCACACTGCGGGCTACAGTAGGGGATGAGATCGGAGTCCCAGGGAGCATCTGTCCCCAACAGGAAATATCCCGCCCAGGATTCAGCAGGAAGGCAAGGAGGAGGGATTGTCCCTCACCCAGGGGCAGCAGAGATGGCGCTGTGCTGCAAAGCAACTTGCCACCTGAATGGGACAGGAGTGACAAATGGACGCGGGGGTCCAGCCCCGAGCACCCAGCCCCAACTGTGTATTTGAGGCCAGGCATATTGCACAGCCCCACGCTGGTGGGTGTATTTATCCCTGACCAACACTACAGGGTTCTGTGCTTCGTTTACCCCTCAGCAGCCCCTAAATACTTTAGCATGCTAATGAACGGCCTAACTCTGCATCCTCCTCCTCATTTACACGGGGGCAGTCTCAGAGTGGTGTAAAATGCTCCCATTCTAGCCTGGTGGTGGTTTTATACCTGCTTTTCCCTTGGCCCACATGATTTTGAATTTAACTGGTAGACTTGTTTTAGGAGGAGCAGAACTGGAACATCATGGCAGCTGAGGCTACATCTACACTACGGGGGTGGGTCGATTTAAGATACGCAAATTCAGCTACGCGAATAGCGTAGCTGAATTCGACGTATCGCAGCCGACTTACCCCGCTGTAGGGACGGCGGCAAAATCGACCTCTGCGGCTTCCCGTCGACGGCGCTTACTCCCACCTCCGCTGGTGGAGTAAGAGCGTCAATTCGGGGATCGATTGTCGTGTCCCGACGGGACGCAATAAATCGATCCCCGAGAGGTCAATTTCTACCCGCCGATTCAGGCGGGTAGTGTAGACCCAGCCTGAGAGTTAGGAGTGAGGGGTATCGGCAGAGTTGGGAGTGGGGAGCCCCAGGCTGGGATAGCAGGGAGGCTGTTGGTCAAGGGTGAGGGGCCCTGGCAGAGCTGTGTGTGGGGTGGGGAGCCCAGGGCTGGGATAGCGGGAGGGGGTGTGCAGGTGAGGGGCATTGACAGAGTTTGGGGAGGGGGACAGGGCTGGAATAGCAGAGGCTATTCTACAAATTGTTGAATTAAGCAGAGAGCATCAGAAAATCATTGTTCACCAACGAGAAAAAGTTAATCCTGTTAAGTCCAAACACTGGTTCCAGAACCAAAAGTATATTTAAAATAAAATTAACACACAAAGCGAACTGCAGATGCTTGTGGGATTTCTGAGGCTTTAGTAAAATGGTGGGTGCACCTGTTTTATAAACTAACCCTCAACTGTTGGGCTTTCTGTAATCCGCTCCTACTGAGTGAAGCTAGGGGCTTGCCTTGGTTAGCAAACTTGTCCCAGGGCTCCACTGAAACTCAGTTTTTATACCAATTTAACTAGGGGTACGTCTACACTTTGAACTGGGGGTGTAATTTCTAGCTTGGGACCGTACGTGCTCTAGCTTTGATGAAGCTAGCATGCTAAAAACAGAACTGCTCTCTGGCATGGGCAGTGGGATGAGTTAGCCCCCTGAGTTAAGTACCAGGATTGTACTTGGGGCAGCTACCTCGTCCCACCGTCTGTGCCACTGGGGCTGTGCTTCCATTGTTAGAGCATTAGACTGGTCAAAGTTAGCACATGAACGTCTATCTGAGCTGACACCTCCAGAAGAAAATCCAGTGTAGTTAAATTGCTATAACCCTCTAGATACCCTTGTGAAGATACTATTTATTCCAATATAAACATTTTACTGGTATAAAGATCTTTCTGCTGATTTAGTTAAATTGGTGCAAAAATAGAGAGTAGACCAGCCCACAGTTCAACTAAAAATGATTTAGTCACTACAATCCAAACCCCTAACGTAGATGCATTTAAACCAGTTTTGTCTGACATGGTAAATTATCAGATTAGAGTGAACCAGGGCTCATCTATCCTTGAAACGCTAGAGCGGGGTTCTCCCATCGGTATGGGAAATCCATGTCCCCAAGAGGCGGTAGCTAGGGCGACGGAAGAATTCTAGCCCTGTCTACACTGGGGGTTAGGTCGGCTTAACTAAGTCGCTCAGGGAGATGGATTTTTCACCCTCCTAAGCAATGTACATGGGTCAACCTCACGTTTTAGTGTAGACCAGGCCCCAGTTTGAGCATGAATTACAGTGGTTTAAAAGCTTCTACATGAGGGGTTTGCCCTGGTGTAGCTACATTGATGTAGTTAGTTACACCGGTGCAAAAAGCCCATGTGTAGGCCGTCCCTAAGGCAGCGTCTAGGACCTGGGGTGCTGAGAGCAATAGGCATTTCCCAGGGCTTCCCCCATTTGAAATCTGCCCCAGCCCCTGCTGGATAATTGAACTGTTTCTCGCCAAGGGAGCAAGAAGGTAATACCTGCTTTCCACACACAACTGTGAGCTTGCAAACCTACCATAAGGCCCTTCAGTGAAGCAGCCAAGGGCATTTGCACCCCAAGAAGGCTTGTTATGCTGCTTCTACTGTTATAACCGTGTCCACACTAGCAGGGTTGCACTGATTTAACTCTGTTGGTTTCTATATCAATACAATTACCGCAATGCAAAAACAGCACAGAGACCTAAATACTACCCCTCAACACAAGCAGGGAGAGTGCCGGCTTCCACCCCAAAACATGATGGGGCAATTTGATCCGTGGAGTAACTCTGTGCCTTTCTCTGCCCCATGGAACTCATTATGTAGTGAAACTCATCCTGAGAGCTACAAAGGGCAGGGGAGGGAGAGAACATGGGACATTCTACTAGTGGGGTCCATCCAAACTCTTTGGGGACAGTTGCTCCAGGATTGCACAGGTGCCAGGTGGGAGACCATGGAGCAAGCGCAGTAGGCGCCTCCAAAGCTTCATAGATTTTAAGGCCAGAAAGGACCACTGTGATCACCTCTTCTGATCTCCTTGGTAACACAGGCCATAGAACCTCACCCACTGATTCCTGCAGCAAGCCCCTCACTTCTGGTTGAGCTAGAATATATCTTCTAGACAGACAGACAGTCTACCTGTAAAGACCGCAAGTGATGGACAATCCTCCACATTCCTAGGTACGTTTTTTCCTCCCAATGGTTTATTACCCTCACTGTTCAAAATTTGCACCTTATTTCTAGTCTGAATTTGACTTCATTGAGCTTCAGCTCCAACCAGTGGATCTTGTTATGACTTTTCCTGCGAGATTAGAGAGGCAGCTACTATCAGAAATCTCTTCCCATGTAGGTACTTGAAGGTGGACTGTGATGAAGTTCTCTCACTATCAGGCATGCTTTCAAGACCTTGAATCATTCTTGTTGCTTTCTACTGAATGCTTTCCAATTTGTAAACATCCTTCTCCATTTACAATTACTCTTTACAATCCATTAGTTAATCATTTTTTAATCCATTTAATATGGGTCACGTTGATTTTTGTATAGTGCTACATTTTTTTAGTCAAAATGTCACGTGGGACTGAGGCCTTGTCTACCCTGCCCCTGTACAGTGCTGAAACTGTCTCGCTCAGGGGTGTGAAAAAACACTCCCCCAAGCGATGCAAGTTTCAGTGCTGTACAGTGGCAGTGTAGACAGTGCACCAGTGCTGGGAGCCACTCCCCTCATGGGGGTGGGTTTTTTTTACAGCGCTGGTGCCACGACTACACAGCCATGTTAAAGCGCTTCCATGGCAGCGCTTTAACGTTGGTAGTGAAGACGTACCCTAAGTTAAATATGCTTTGCAGAAACCTGTTATCTCAACACAGTTACCTTTGTCAACCAAACTTGTGATCTTATCCAATTATACCAAGTTTCTTTGACAAGATCTATTTGTCATAAAACCATGTTGTTTGGCATTGGTTAATGACCATCTTTTAGGTCTTTACTGACTGCACCCCATATCAGTCTTTCCATGTTTTGCCTAAGATTGCTGTCAGGTTAACCAGCTTATAGCTTCCCTGGTCATTCAGTTTACCCTTCTTAAATGTTGGCAATCAACTTTTTTCAAGTCTTCTTGAAAATTACAGGTAAGGGAGATTGGGACCAGGGGTGGAAGCAGAAGAGGGAATGCAGGGGTATGAGGAGAAGAGATGGTGGAAGGGAAACACAGGGGATGGTACTTGGAATAAAGTTGCTGAGGTGTTAAGGAGTCCCTAGGATTTTGAGTTACAAGGGAATTGGCTACTAGTGGGGCCCCCAAGAATTGAGGAGGCGGGGTGGGGTACCAGGAAAAATCCTTAAGAGATTTGAGGCATCGGGGATAGGGCACAGGAATTCCTGGATAGTGGGGTGAGTGGGGAATTGGGGTGTCAAGAGTTGGACTAGCATGGGAACTTACAAGTAGTGGGGTGTCAGGGTCCCAGGGGATACCTCAGTAGTGGGGTGACAGGGTACCTGGGGATATAAGGAGCTTCCCGGGTATTGGGGTGAGAGGGAGAACTGGGGCATCTGTGCATGGTGGGGAAAGGGCTGCAGGGAGACAAAATACCAGGAGCCGCAGCAATCTCCAGCCCTGCAAAGCCAGCCCGGCCCTTTTAAGGCGGAGGGAGACGGGGGCCGGGCCGGGCTCAGCCCCTATATAGGGCGGGCGGAGGCGGCCCCGTTTTCTCTCTCTCCCGGCCGCGCCGCAGTCCCCGCACCAGGGACCGAGCCCGCTCCTGCCCGATCTCCCGCTACCCGTCACGGTAAGGGTGGCCGGGGCCTGGCTCGGCGCGGGCGGGCGGGCTCGGCCCCGGGCTCGGCCCCGGCAGGGGTGGGGGGCGCCGCGCCCCGCACGGGGGGCGCCGGGTGGGGGCGCACGTGGCTCCGCTGGGCGCTGCCATGTTGAGCGGGGCCCCTCGGGGCGGGGGCCCGGCGGGTTCGGCTGCGGGAGCGCCCGGCCCCCGCCTCTAAGGCTGGAGCCTCCGCCGGGCCGGGCCTTGGCTCCGGGGACGCGGCCTGGGGTGGGGAGTGGGGCCCTGGTCGCTCAGCAGGTGCCGGCCCGCCATTGAACCCGGTGGGAGGCCGCAGCCCCGGCCTCCCCGTCCCCAGCGCGGGCCTCGGGCGGGCGGCGCCCCCGCGGCTCCACTGCCGCCCCGGCGGGGAGCAGGCCAGCGGGGGCGGGGACGGGGCGCCAGGCAGGTGCTCTGAGCCCGACCTTGTTTTTCAGATGCCTGAAGGAGTGCAGCATGGGGAGGAGGAAGTGGAGACCTTCGCCTTCCAGGCAGAGATCGCCCAGCTCATGTCCCTGATCATCAACACCTTCTACTCCAACAAGGAGATCTTCCTGCGGGAGATCATCTCCAACGCCTCTGATGTGAGCATGGGGGGCCCGCCCGCCCCCAGCGGGAGTGCGGGGCTCTGCAGTGCTGCCGCTGGGTACAGCGGGCACTGCCCGCTCCTGTTACTAGGGCAACCATTGATTTTCCCCTACCTGCTGAGGCCCTTAAAGACGCACGGCTAGTGACGAAAGGGCCCTGTATGGTGCTTTGGCCCTGCCCTAGATGACCCATCCTTAAGGGGGGTTCTGTCTCCCTGCCTTTGTCCTAAGATTGCCAGCGAGGGGGCTTGTTAATGCCAGATGTGCTGGTGGTCACCTGCCTTTAGGAAAGGGTTGGAGAGCCCCAAATAATCCCTCTCTTCTCTCCTGCCACCTGCACGCTCTCAATGGAGTAGTAGATCAGTATTCCCATAGCTCCTGGCAGGAGCAGAAGATGCAGCTCTGCTGGCAGTGGCCCCTATCCCCTAGTTTCGTTTCTGCTGCCCTTGGAGGAGCTGGCATTTGGTGTCACCTGTTTGTTTCTAGGCATTCTCTCTGCCCTGCATGCTGTTCTGAGGGGGTAGCCGTGGTGCGTCTCTCAAGTAGGGCCTCTTGTTTTGCCCTCTGGAAGGGTTTGAGTGAAGCCAGAGCTTTTGTGGCAGATCTGTGCCATGATGATGCTATTGCGAAAGTCCATGGGCCTCACTGCCCAAAGCAGGGAGCGTACAGGATCCATGGAGCGGCTGAATGATGGGTGAGCATTGCTAACTGTCTCTGTCCTCCCCTAGGCCCTGGACAAGATCCGTTATGAGAGCCTGACAGATCCCTCAAAGCTGGACAGTGGCAAGGAGCTAAAAATTGACATCATCCCAAACCCCCGGGACCGCACCCTAACCTTGGTGGACACAGGTATCGGCATGACAAAGGCTGACCTCATCAACAACCTGGGCACCATTGCCAAATCTGGTACTAAAGCCTTCATGGAAGCCCTGCAGGTGAGTGACCTTCAGCCTGTGCACTAGAGCGCTTGGACCCCTTGTGGGCCTGGGCATCTAGTGGGCTCATGTCCTCCACAGAGCCTTGCGACTTCAACACTCAGTAGTTGGCTAAGAGATGACCCCTTTCTGGGCCTGTGTTCTCTCAGGAGCAGCCTGCAGTGCTTTTGGCTTGTCCATGTGTTCCTGCACAGAGAGGAGGTGATGCTGCCCTGCCTTGTCCCTGTCTGTATTTGTGGCCTTATCTCTGTGTGTTGGCGCTTGGCCCAGCTCTCTGCTATTGGGACACACCTGGCTGTATCACAGACATCACCTGTCTCTTGCTCTTCTCACCCATTCTCCTTCCTCTTGCAGGCTGGCGCTGATATCTCTATGATTGGGCAGTTTGGTGTGGGCTTCTACTCCGCCTACCTGGTGGCCGAAAAGGTTGTAGTCATTTCCAAACACAATGACGACGAGCAGTATGCCTGGGAGTCATCGGCAGGGGGCTCCTTCACTGTCAAATCCGATCATGGTATGGACTGTGGCGATAGGGTCTGCAGGGAATCAGCCATCCCTTTCCCCTCTGTCTGCCAAGGGGTCCCAGAGAGAGGGGTCCGTATAGAGTTAGTCACCCCCCTCCCACCCTGTCGGCCACAAATCCCAGAGAGGGGTCTGTGGGGAACCAGCCATGTCCCTCCCACTCGGTCTGTCATGGGGGCCCCCAGAGTGGTTTGAGGTGGCTGGTGACAAGATGGTATGGAGGGATGAGGTGTTGTAGTCTGTAGCTGTCACTTGATGGGGAAGCTAGGGGGAGAGGGTCCAGGCTCATGGGATCATATGTGGAGCTTAAGTGACTTGTCAGCTTGGATTAGGTCCCAGGCCTAAGCTGTAGGAGCTGGGGGAGGAAGTGCCCCTCAGTGCTACCCAAAGCCATGGTCTAAGCCTGGTGCTGGGCCAGTGGTAGCTGTGGGTCTGCCCTCCCTGCTCATGGATGCGTTTTCTGACCTTGGTTCTCGTTAGAAACACTGTGATGATCCTCCCTTTAGTTTAGCTGTGGGGTGTACCTGGCATTGGCATGAGATCTGCAGAGTGAGCTCTGTCCAGTGCCTGTGGCCAGTAATGCCACTGCCTCTCTCCTGATGTCACAGGCGAGCCCATCGGGCGTGGCACCAAGGTGATCCTGTACTTGAAGGAGGATCAGACAGAGTACCTTGAGGAGCGGCGGGTCAAGGAGGTGGTGAAGAAGCACTCCCAGTTCATCGGCTACCCCATCACCCTTTATGTACGTATGTGAGAGATGGTGGGACCCATGGGAAGACCAGATGGAGCATAGGGGGAGGCCCAAGCTGAGAATGGGGAAAGGATGGTACATTCCACCTTGAGCCTTCCCATCTGCACATGGGTGTGCATGTAAGAGACAGTGATGGGCTTTACCAGGCTCTGGAGGCAAGGGCTGTGCACTTATTCTGCTGCTGCAGGAGTTGGCCAGCAGAATGGTACAAGGGTGGGAACTAGTTCAATGCTGCTAGGGGGTGGAGATCACCGAAAGGGTGTACTGCATAGTCAGACTCGCACCCCTAAAATCTGTACAGGCACCTTGGGCCATTGCCTAAACTACCAGGCGAGGGACTGGGGCTGGAACTTCACCTACATGGGCCTCTATTGCATGAGCTATGGGAGGTCTCACCAGCTGGTGGTAGCTATAGATCCTTTATCCTCTTTGTCAGCCCAGCCACTGGAAGGCACCATGTGCGAAATTTGAACCAGTGCTTTACCTGCAGTGCATCACTGCAATGTTTAGCCTTTGCATGGTGCCCATCAGACTGAAACTCCCATCTCCCTTGGGGCAACGGAGTCTCTGTCACTGCTCCGATCTGCTTGCCTGTCTGGCTCCCATGCACATATGCCCTGAGTAAGGTAGGTGCCTTGGCCATAAACCTCTTGCACTTCTCCTTACAGCTAGAGAAGGAGCGGGAAAAGGAAATCAGTGACGATGAGGCAGAGGAAGAGAAGGGGGAGAAGGAGGATGAGGACACAGCCCCCAAGGATGAGGAGAAGCCCAAGATTGAGGACGTGGGCTCAGATGAGGAGGAAGAGGAGGGTGGTAAGGGCAAGAAGAAGAAGACCAAGAAGATCAAGGAGAAATACATCGACCAGGAGGAGCTGAACAAGACCAAGCCCATCTGGACCCGCAATCCTGATGACATCACCCAGGAGGAATACGGAGAGTTCTACAAGAGCCTCACCAACGACTGGGAGGACCACCTGGCTGTCAAGGTGGGTGCAGGGGCTGGGCTGGTAGAGGCCAAGGTTCTCTTTACCTCACAAAGCAGGATGGATTAGTGCACAGGGCAACATTTCTTTGTCATAGGGGTGGGCTCTAATATAGAAAGGGGGGCCCCAAAATACTCCTTTAGACCCAATGAGATGCCCATGAACAGCAGCTAGTTCTCCTACCGTGGGAAGCTAATCACCCGGCTGAGCCTGTTTGATACATCCCTGCTGGGCATGGGGCCTCCCACCTGGGTGTGGTGCAGGTTTGCTGGCCCTTTGATCCGAGTGACCCTCACTCCCAATCACCTGCTTCATCCAGGTGTGCAGGGTTCTCCTGAGGCCCTGGCTGCCACTCTGGCATGAGCGAATGGGGGTAGGAGCTGCTGCTTTGGGGGCCTTAGATCCTGCTGCAGTTTGCTCCAAGGTAGCTACTCAGTCCCCCTACCCAAGGCCCTTTGGGTGCTCCTACAGCTGGACCAAAGGGAAGGGCTCTCCCCAGGGGAGGGTTAAAGGAACGAAGTCATGGGAGTTTTGTTCATCTCACCCCTGTCTCCCGCAACCTGCAGCACTTCTCTGTGGAGGGACAGCTGGAGTTCCGAGCTCTGCTCTTCATCCCACGTCGCGCCCCCTTTGACCTCTTTGAGAACAAGAAGAAGAAGAACAACATCAAGCTGTATGTGAGGCGTGTCTTCATTATGGACAGCTGTGACGAGCTCATCCCAGAGTACCTGAGTAAGAGCCTCCTGTGTAACACCCTGCCCTTGTGCAGAGCTCCCTCTCTAAACCGCTCCCCGGCTTGTGGCATTTTCCAGTTATGTTAGCTGCTCCCTCACCATTGCACCACCCCCGTACATCATACAGCCTCCTTGCACTGCTGGGAGGGATGCAGAGGGTCAGGTCTCCTCATGCAGCGTGGAGCTTGGGCTTCCTGCTTGGCACTTCTGCTCTCGTGCATGGGGGATGGGTGTATGGAGTTAGCCTGGCTGTTCTGATCACCCTCCTTGGGCCTTGGCTTCTTTCCTCCCCTCAGATTTCATCCGGGGTGTGGTGGACTCTGAGGACCTGCCTTTGAACATCTCCCGGGAGATGCTGCAGCAGAGCAAGATCCTCAAAGTGATCCGCAAGAACATCGTCAAGAAGTGCCTAGAGCTCTTCTCAGAGCTGACCGAGGACAAGGAGAGCTACAAGAAATTCTATGAGGCCTTCTCCAAGAACCTCAAGGTGAGAGCCAGCCATCCCACCACCTGGGGGCAAAGGGGACGCTGCTGTGCCTTGACATGCTCCACAGGCAGGCACTTGAGGAGCCAGAATTAGTCTCTGATCTGTTCCAAGATGGTGACTTCTCTGGGCCAGGCTCGTGGCTCAAACCTGCTCTTCCTGGCAGAGCTCTGGAGCGGAGAGGCCAAACAATTGGTCATCTTAGCAAGTGTGCCCCAGGGTGCTTGAATGGGAATGCCTTCCTCACTGCATCTGCCCCCAACCTCAGCCCTTGGGTGTGGGTGGGGTGTTTGCAGGGAGGGGCTAGATTTCCCAGCTCTTGAGAGCAGGAGAGCGTTAGTGAGCCACTTCCTGGAGCATGCGTATAAATCAACCTTCTCTGACCCCAGCTTGGGATCCATGAGGACTCAACCAACCGGAAGCGCCTGTCGGAGCTGCTGCGCTACCACACGTCGCAGTCGGGTGACGAGGTGGCCTCGCTCTCTGAGTATGTGTCCCGCATGAAGGAGACTCAGAAAAGCATCTACTACATCACAGGTGCGGGCTGCTGGCCGGGGGGCCAAACCTCCCTCCTACCCCATCACCTGGGCATGTTGCCTGCCTCCCCCACTCCGCTGGGGGGAATAGGCTGTCCCTCAGAATGGGGATCTCCTCTGCATGCTGGGTTTTGATGTAGCTAATGCAACAGCAAGAGAGTTAGATTCCCGTGGGGACCCCTCCCGTCACCCCAGAATGGGACTCTTCTGCCTAGTTACTGCTTGGCTCCTCTGGTCGCTGGTGTGACAGAGTTCCCCCGGCAGGTGGGCTTGTATGAGCCTCCTCCCCAGAATTTCTACTTCCTAGAGAGAGGCTCTTGTTAATCAGGTGCTTTGGAATCCTTGTCTGGGAGGTGTGTATGCAAGTTCTGTGGCCTCATTTCTCTAAGGGAATGGCCAGGCCAGTAGACCCTTGTAATAGGACTTCGGCTGAAACATGGCCCCAATGAGGGTGGTGTTGAATTCTAGCCGGTCCCTGCCAGGGGACTGCTGGAAACCCCAGAGTGTAGCCAGCTCCGAGCCCTGGTGACCTCTTCTTTCCCCCAGCACAGGTGAGAGCAAGGAGCAAGTGGCTAACTCCGCCTTTGTGGAGCGTGTGCGGAAGCGCGGCTTCGAGGTTGTGTACATGACGGAGCCCATCGATGAGTACTGCGTGCAGCAACTCAAGGAGTTTGATGGCAAGAGCCTGGTGTCAGTCACCAAGGAGGGGCTGGAGCTGCCCGAGGATGAGGACGAGAAGAAGAAGATGGAGGAAAGCAAGGCGAAGTTTGAGAACCTCTGCAAGCTCATGAAAGAAATCCTGGATAAGAAGGTTGAGAAGGTAAGATGGGGTGGAATGCAAATCCCAGCCCAGGGCCAAGTCCTGGCTCGGTGGGGAAGGAGAGCAGGGCCCCACAGAATGCAGACAAGGGTTGGACCCCGGCTCAGTGCATGGCCTCTGGTCTTTCTTGTCTCCAGCAGAGGATCAGCTGAAGGAGACTGCAGGTCCCAGCATGCACTGCAGCATCTTGCTCTAAGCAGCTGGGCTGCAGGTGAGGGGCACTGACCCAAACGATTGTAGGGGTAGTGCTGTGGGAATGTGCCCTGGGTACCAAGGGGTTGGCTGAGCTGCCGGTGCTGTCCCAGGCAGTGTTCCTGAAGCTGGCTGGGAGATTCCTTCATGGCTGTCTGAGGGCGTCCGTGCCCTTCCCTACAGCCAGGTCTCCACTGCCTGTGGCTCTCCGGCTGAGCCTGACATAAGGGCTGGGGTCCCTGCTTCTGTTGTGACCAAACCCAGTCAGAGGCACTAGACCCTGCTGTTTTTGCCTGGCCTCCGCAGGTCACCATCTCAAATCGGTTGGTCTCATCACCGTGCTGCATTGTCACCAGCACCTATGGCTGGACGGCCAACATGGAGCGTATCATGAAGGCCCAAGCGCTGCGGGACAACTCCACCATGGGATACATGATGGCCAAGAAGCACCTGGAGATCAACCCCGACCACCCCATCGTGGAGACCCTGCGCCAGAAGGCCGAGGCTGATAAGAACGATAAGGCTGTCAAGGACCTGGTGGTACTGCTCTTTGAGACAGCCCTGCTCTCCTCTGGCTTCTCCCTGGAAGATCCCCAGACCCACTCCAACCGCATCTACAGGATGATCAAGCTCGGGTTGGGTAAGTGTCCCAGGTGACGGGGAGCCGCAAAGAGTTGGCATTTGATGGTAGACACTGGGGAAGGAGCTTTTTCCAGCCCTTCGATGTCAGGGATCCAGAGATCCTGGTCATGGTGGCTTACCCTGAAATCTAGAAGTCGGGTATGTTAGCCAGTTGAGCTGGTCTTTGGCTTCAGCACAGAGCAGGCCTCCTTGGGAAGGAATGGTAATAATTCATCCCACTCCAAGGTCACTCATGCTGGCCACTAGAAGGAGCTCTGACCCCTCAATCCTGGCTTATACTTTCCTCAGTTCATGGAAGGAGTGGTCCCAAGGCAAGCTTTCCTCACCTAGCTCACAGCAGGAAGTGCAGTGGAGGGGAGGGGCTGTCTCCTGGCATGAAGCAGATCCTATTATGCCATGACAGGAGGGTTTAAAATGTACTTTATCCTGTGCAAGCTAGAGTGGTGTGTAACCTAATCTGCATGGTAGAGCCTGTGCATTAGCCACTGTGTGGAAGGCTGGTGGCAGGTGTTGGCAGCAAATGGGAGGAGAACTAGTTTGAAAATGGTCTTTTTTTTCCTAGTGGAAAACTGACCTTCAGTGAGAAATTGAAAACCCAAAACGTTCCATTGTAACTTCTGATTCAGCAATGCTGCCACCAGGCCTTGTGGGGTTTGTAGTTTCTGTGCCTCATGCTCCCATTTGTCTCTGTGGGCCTCACTAAATCTCCCACAATGCACCACTCTCCCATTAGCTCATGTGGTGCATCTGCATCATGGGGAATGTAATCGCTTGGTGAGTTTGGCCCATGGAGGAGAATGGGGGCAGGAGGCAGCATTTCTGAACTGAAAGGTGGTTTTCAGGTCATGCTTGTTGACAGGCAGTGTGCATTTTCCAGGGAAAGCAGATGTGCTTTGGCATGCACAAAAGAGCATTGATGGAAAGCTGGTTTTCTGCTGTGACTAAATTGGCTGGAAATGCATTGCCCAGCCCTCCAGGAGAGGGCCTCGGCCTAGCCACACTCACAATGTCTCTGTGTGTGATATATCCTGGGAGTGGCCCTCAAAGTAACCGGCCTGCACATCTCCCTTCCTCCCCAGGTATCGATGAGGATGAGGTGATTGCAGAAGAGCCCAGTGTTGCGGTCCCTGATGAGATCCCCCCACTAGAGGGGGAGGAAGATGCATCCCGCATGGAGGAGGTGGACTAAAGGGGGCCATTCCCCCTCCCATCTTAGCTCCCTGCATCATCTCTGCTTGGAAGGGGCAGGGCCTGGCCTCTGCAACTGCTACTGACTCCTCGCTCCCCTAGTGTTGTGTTTTTCCCCACTTGTTTCCCACTGTCAGTAGTGGGTGGGGTTGCAGGGTCCTAGCCCTGTCTGGTCCATCTGTCTTTCTGCTTGTGTTGAACCAGCTGCTTGGGGGGGTGGGTTGTGCTGATGGGTTCTGATTTTCCCCCATGGGGGGTCTTGTGCTGCTCCTGGGCACTAAGCACCCACCCTGCCCCAGCTGGGGTGAGCACTGAGCTTGAGCGTCCCTGCCCCCTCCCCCCAAGCACAGCAGGGAGCCCAATCCCCACCCCCTGGTTGCTGCCTGCATCCTAGGGTAGGATGTTGTATTTTGTCGGCCGTTTGGTTTTTTGTTCTACTGAAATTTAATTAAAGTATCAAATAGAGAATGCGGTTTACACAGCGGCTGCCTTGTCTGGGTTATGTTGGGAGTCCCTGCAGCACCCAAAGGGAGTGATGGCAGGTGTGGGGGAGACTGGGGCCACTTGAGCACCAGTGGGGGAGAGCAGTGCTCGGTGGCAGCTGAGTGCTGCATTCAAGGCCCTGCTCTCTCTCAAAGAGAACTGCTCAGAGCAGTTGCAGCCCCAAGAACTCATAGCCCCTGCCCGGGAGCGGGAGCTGAGGCTGGGGCGTGCGATGCTGTTGCCCCTGCTTGGCATGTGTATCTGGCTGCTAGAGTAGCACCTGCTAAACTTCAGGCTGTGTGCCAAGTGCAGGGAACTGGGCATGTCCTTGAAAGGGAAGGCAGTTCCTTTCCTTTGTCTCGGCTGCTCTTAGCCACTTCAAGTCCTGCTCTCTTGCTTACCCTCCAGCTTCCCATGTGGAGGGCACCTACCTCACTTTGACAGTGGCTTCCTGAGGAGCTGGGTTAGCTCACCTCTGCCTTTTTTCAGCAATGGGTAGGGGGCAGCTGCACATGTGCAAATGCTATGGAAGACCAAGGCAGAATGAGGAGTCCTGCCTCTGCTGAGATTTGCGCAAGTCTTGTCTCAACAATGGAGCTAGTCTACACTACCCTAAGTCTTTGGGCAGCAACCTGTGCCCTCAGCCTACTCTCCCCAGGAACTTTCTTAGATCCCATTCCAATTTGCACACCCCTAATCCAGTAGCAATGTACAAGTAGCAATGTCCTTAATGGAGCTGGAGTTCAGGGGCTTTCTTCCTGTTGTGCTCTGGGCTGACCTGGACCCTGCGAGGTGATGGCTGAGCTAGCAGCTGCTTTCCCTGCCTGGGTAGTCTAAAAACTACACTGTGGAAGAGCTTCTGTGTTCTCCTAGGCTCCCTCAGCTCTGGTGATCTTGGTCCTGGAACACATGTGCAGAGGAAGCACCAGATCTGACTTGACTTGCTGTCTTCAGCAGGAGGCCTAATGGAGCCCCATGGCCACCTGGCAGCCTGGAGAGCTGCTCCTGGGCAGGGAGGGTCCCTGTGCTTCTCTCCAAGGGGGTGGAAGAGGTGTAGGACTCCAACCTTGCCACAGAGTGGCACCCTCCTCCTGCCAAGGCCCAGTATTGGAGCCAGTGCACTCTGGAGAGATGTAGCTCTTGCGGGTCAATTCTCTCCCTGTAAACCCTGCCCTTGCTTGCTGTACAATCACAGCTGCCAGAGCATTCTCAGGCTGCCCCTTCCTCCCTGGGGGATAGAATGAGCCAGGACCCAACTCAGATGGATGTGCCTTCAGGAGCAGAGCCAGCTTATGGGAGGGTGCTGGCAGCTGCTGGACCTTGCTAGGCTCTGGCCTCCCCTGTTGCACTACCTCACAATCATCAGGGCTGCTGGTGGTCAGAGGGCAGCTGTGATGGGCTAATTGATCTGATTGTTGCTTGGTGTGTAAAGGGAGAAGTTGTGGGAAAAGTCCAACCTTATCCTCAATGGGAGGGGCAGGAGCTTTAGCAGTAGGGGGCTGGTGGTTACCTCCCCTCCCATTTCTGTGGTTGGTTGGTCTCTACATCCTACCATACAGCTGGCCCAGCTCCCCAACCAGGCCCCACATGCTGCAACTCCAGAACCTGCCTCTGCTCAGTAGGTCCTTCCCACCACTTGCTTCTGGGCTGTGGGTATAGCAGGGCTATAGACACCTGTCTCCTGCTCCTAGCTCCCAGGATGGAAGTGGGGGAGCAGTGACCAGGTCACAGGCGGGAGAAGAACTCTGTCAGGTCTCAGAGTAGCAGCTGTGTTAGTCTGTATCCGCAAAAAGTACTCCTGTTCTTCTGTCAGGTCTGGAAGTTATATGGAGGCTGGGTGCATAGTTGGGAGAGGGGTTGGCCACAGCTGCCTGCAGGTTTGTGGGGGCTTAACAGGAGTTTTGCAAGTTTTTGTCCTAAGAAGAGGGCATTAGTGCCCAGTGCACTTATACCTACCCCAGCTGCAGCCCCCAGTAACTCTGTCCACAAGGCTGGGAGAGGGGGCACCTGAGCCAAGTGCTTTGTTGGTTACTTGGCAGGAGCCACAGCCTGGGCGATATTTGCACAAAATGGAGCAATCTCCATCTTCAACACAAAGGGGCAGAGCCTACAGCTCCCAGCATGCAACAGGGGCTGTGCCCCAGAGTATGGCCCTGGGGCTTGTGGGCTGCCTTGCATGCTGGGAGTTGTAGTCCCCCCACTATTACATTAAAGGCTAGCAGCTGTAGGGCACATTCAGACATTCTGGGGCTTGTGCTGAACAGCATCCCTGGCCCAGCAGTCATGTGGAGGAGCAGGCCAATGTTCTTCAAACAAAAAATATTTTTGCATGTGAAAAAGGACCCATTCCAAAAACAATCACCTCCCCCTTTAAACAAAACTTGAACTGGTACCCACTCACCTCCCCCCCCTTTTTTTTTTCAGGGGCAAAGTGGAGGGGGTCAACCAAGGTGGGCAAAACCACCCCTATGCCTAATCCCTCCCCTGTTCTACAGCATTTGTTCTGGGCAACCCACCATCCCAGGCTGCCCTCCACCATTCTGTTACTGCCCTGCAGTTTCCCAACATCTAGGAAGGGGCACTGAGCTGGGGACAGGTTGGTAGTGTCCCCCTCTGAGAGGTGTCGTTTCTAAAGTAGCTGCTCTCGCCCTGGCAGTGCATGGTATGGCAGATAGGCTATTTATTACCACCAACTGCAGGGGACCTACTCTAGTTTGCACAACTGCACCATGGCAGAGGTGGCTGAGGGAGAAAGCAGTGGAAGTTGTACCTTAGCAAACAGGTATTCTCACACTGGATTCTTGTCTCTGACAATGGGCAGTGCCAGATGCTTCAGTGGAAAACGGTTTAAAAAAAAACAAACACACAGAAAGGATAACATGCCCACAGGGGCAGTCTCTCCCTACACACCACCAGGCAGTGGCTGGCATATGCTCTGAAGCAGAGGGGTTTATCTCCTTTCTATTTTTAACCAGCAGTCTGAATGGGGCAGTTCTCATTAGCCATACAAATGCCTGCTCCTTTTCTGAATTCTGCTATGCTCTTCGCCACTGTAGAATATTGTGGCAGTGAGTTCCACAGACTAACAGTCACTACTGGAGTGTCTCCTTTTATCCATTTTGAATTTAGCACCTGTCAGAGTAGCTCCTGGCTCTGATGTTATGACAAAGGTTGAAGAGCAATGGCCAACCTACCTTTTATAGACCACTCATGTCCTCGCTTTTCATCTCTCCCAGTCGCTGAGTATTCTTGTCACCCAGCTCTGACCCCCTCGCTTGCTGCTCAATCCTTTCTGAGAGCAGGTGACCACAAGTGAACAGTCATCTGAGCACTTTTATGGAACAGCGTTAGCCTAGCAGGGAGGCTAGTCCCTGGCTCTCCTTCAAACAGCTTCCCACCCTGCTGGCTCTTGACTAACTGCTCCCCACAGCGGGAGGAGGGACCATGCCCCCCACACCTTCCTCCTCTAGGGTGGAGGGTCTGAAGCTGGGGTTTGGCACAGCACACGGCTCCATGAAGGCTTTACTCCCTTACAGCCTGTTACAGCAATGGAGACTCTGGGCGACAGGCGCTCAGCAGGGCATAGAGTGGCGCCTACTCAGCAGTGGAAGGCAGAGCTAGAAGAGGCCATGGCTGAACCTACAGGCAGGCTGACCAGAGCGTACTGCCCAAGAACAAGACATTTATGCAGCCAGACTCAGGGCACAGAGCGCTAACAGCTGCCCTCCCAGCCACACAAACAGGGACAGTGAGCAGCCGGCATGTGCAGAGGGCTCAGGTTGGGACACAGTGTGAGCCCAACCCCCAGAACCTGGCTCTGCCCTAGACTAGAACTCAGGAGAGCTGGGTTCAATACCAGGGTCCACCCCACCCTTCCTGGGTGACCTCAGGCAACACCCTGGGCCTGTTCCCCCATCTGTAGGCTGGGGCTAATAATGCTACCCTGCCTCCCCAGGGGGAGGGGGTGAGAAAGTCAGTGTGCACCCTTCAGCCACAACTGCATCAAAGTCCCTAGCCAGAGAGCTCCTGGGAGCAGTGCCTTCCCACCACCCCCAAGAGCATTCAGACCCCAACAGTCCACCCCGGGGCACTGTTTGCAGCAGCTTTTTAATTTAATAAAATAAAAAGAGACCAAGTTGCATTTTAAAAGTACCCAAACCATTCCCCTAGCAGATGGGGGGGCCTGGTCTGTTTGGAAACAAAACCGTTACTGGGTCAAACCCAGGTTCCCGAGGTGGAGCCAGAGCAAGTGGCTCCCTGCATCCAGGATTGAGAGCAGCCACGTGCAGGGAAAAGGAACCTGGGCTGGGCTGGGCTTTGTCCTGTCTCCGGGACCGCTGCGTACCACAAAGCCCTAGCTAGGCTGCTGAGTGGGCTGGCGCTGGCACCTCCTGCTGGCAGGAAAAAGGAGAAACAAGGAGGGATATCCCAGGAAGGGGATCTTTGTGCTTTTCTAAAGGGCAGGAGCCAATTACGAATCCCCGAAGCCAGAGAGCAGAAAGCGCCCTTAGGGGATCCTGGGAGTTCTAGTTCAAACCTATGACAAGAGTAAACGTAAACAAGAAAGGAAAAGCAGCACAAAACGCAAACAGAATGGAGCAGAAGGGCCGGGCCAGGCCAGGAGACAGAAATGGAGAAGGCTCCCAGCAGGGAGAGCGTAGTGCATGACCTGCCAAGCCAGCAAGGACAAGGCTACTGTTCAAGAGGCACCTGCCACAAATCCAGACTGCATACTAGGGCTGGTAAAAGAGCTGCTGTGTAGCAATGTAGCTAGGGAGGCCCCATGCTCCTGCCCCGTTCCCTACAGCGCCTCCTGCTGGGAAAGGCAGGGACTGATGTAGCTGAGAGCTGCCCCCCGTCCAGCCAGCACTCCTGCCCCGCTCCCTACACCACCTGCTGCTTTGGCAGGCTGAGACTGGAGCTTCTCTCTCAATCATACGTATTTGTAAAGAAAAATGATAGTGTTTTCTTGCCGTTCTCTTACTATCGGCTCTGTAGTGAGGAAAGAAATGGGGAGTGAAGCTGGAGACAAGAAAGTGCCAGGGAATAAAGCTCCCTTGTTCATAAATAATCTTCAAGAGAAGCCCCGAGTACCAGATGGAGCTAGGGCAGGAGTTAACCCCGCTGCACTCCTGGGAACTAGACCTGCCCCCTGCTCTGTTCCTGGGGTGATCTCAGGGAAGTGAAATACTCAGACCTATTAAGGCAACAGGAGAAAGGTGTGGTGGAGGCCCAGAAAGCACCTCGCTTCCTCCAAGCCCACTCCAGCTCCTTGTCCAGGAAAAGCAGTTGGCAAAGGGAGTCATTGTTTCTCCTCCTCTCCTCAATAGGTTCACAAAGAGAAGAGAAATAAAGCAAGTGCCCTGCAGTGGGAGAGGGGAGGAGGGCAGGGTCTGTCCCATGGCCCCTAAACCTTCTGCACTGGGACCTCGCCGGCGGGCAGCTTCTTGCTACGCTTCTTCATGCGGCTGCGGGCATAGACGCGCAGGAAGAGAGCCATAAAGACCACGGCCACGCCCAGCCCACCCACCACGGTGATGGCGTGCCCGTAGATGAGGCAGGAGAGCAGGATGGCAAAAGCCTGGCGCAGCGTCATGATGATGGTGAAGACGGCCGCCCCAAACTGATTGATGGTGTAGAAGATGAAGAGCTGGCCAAAGGCGGAGCAGATGGACAGCAGCATGGCGTGGGCCGCGAACTCGGAGTGGCGGGCCATGAAGCGGGCCGACTCCAGCAGGGCGCCCTGCTCCAGCAGCGAGCCCATCGTGAAGAGGCAGGAGAAGACGTTCACCCCAAACATCATCTGCACCGGGGACATCTTGTAGGTGAAGAGGGCGTCCTGCCAGTTGGAGGTGAAGCTGTCGAAGACGATGTAGCCGGCCAGGAGGACCACCCCTGAGAAGGTGGTGACAGTGGAGAGGTGCTTGGTGGGGGCACTGGAGAGCAGGAACATGCTGACCCCCACCGAGATAAGCACCGCCGTCAGGTACTCCCAGTACTCGTAGCTCTTGCGCGACACCAGCTTGCCCATCAGCATGACCGGGATCACCTTGGAGGCCTTGGCCAGCACCTGGGTAGGGAAGCTGATGTACTTGAGTGCCTCATATTGGCACCAGCTGCTGAGGATGTTGGAGAGTGAGGCAAAGGAATACTTGTACATGGGGGCGCCGTGGCGCGGCTGCTTGGTCAGGGCACAGTACAGGCCGGCTACGGTGAAGGCCAGGATCCGGTTCATGAAGACGAGAAATTGGGAATCTTTGAACTTCTCACCAGGATCCGTCTCGGTGGCCCCATACGTTCGGGTCATGACCCGCTCCTGGAGGACGCCCCACGTCAGGTAGGAAGCCTGCAAGGCACAAAGAGCAGAGGGCGAGTGAGGAGTAGGGATGGCAGCCAGCAGCCACCGCACGCAGGGAGGAACAGTCCTGTCTGAGCATCTCTCCATTTGCACCCAGCAGGGACCAGGCCCCCCTCCTGCATACCCAATGGACCCAGCAAAGAGATGGTACCTGCCACCACCACGTCCAGCTGGGGAGCAGTGAACCGGCCTGCCCAGCCACTTCATCCTCACTCCCACTGCCCCCACCAGAGAGCCAGGGGAGAAATCAGCCTGGCTCCTGCCCCGCTGTGTGCAGAGGGATCAATGGGCAGCATTTCATTACGCACAGATCTGGAGAGCACTCTCCGCCCAAGGGCAGCTCCCCCTACAGTTAAGGCTGTAAATACCCAATGAAAAACCTGTTCCGGCTCTCGAGTGCATAGCCACAATCTCAAACAACACAGGAAATGGCAAAGCAAGTGTCCCAGCAGTCGCATTAACTCCACCCTAGTACACTTTATGGGATACACTTCACAAGATAAACAGTTCTGTATTAAGCTGCCCGTTTAACCAGAAAAACAGGAATAGACAACATGGCAAAGATGTGCCCACGATCCTGATGCCGGTGGAACCTTCACACTGCAGTTCCTGCTCTTTAACGCCGCAGCCTTGATGGTGCATTAACACAGGTTTTTGCATTTAGTTTCCTAGGTCATTTCTTAAATCAAAACCAATTCTAATTGCAAACCCAGCAGAGGAAACTGCCCTCTGTGAGGACTATCATCTGTCCATCAAGGTACTTATATAGCCCTGCTGCCACAGTATTGGAGCTCCTCACAGACATAATGGAGTTATTCTCCTACCTCCCACTGTACCGCTGGGAAACTGACATACAGAGAGAGAAAGTGACTTGCCCTAAATCACACAGCGAGTCTGTCACAGAACCAGGAACTGAACGCTGATCTCCTGAGTCCCCATCCAGTGCCTCCATCACGAGGCAGTCCCTCCTCTCATTGTTCAGGCGGCATTTCGGGCATTTTTCCTGTAGCTATGACTCAAAGAAGCAGGATCACAGTTTCCTATTCATCTCAGCTGAACTCAAACACTGGAGAGATTTTTTTCAGTTTCCTAATAAAATCTACCTGGGGCAGAGCCTGAGTTTAGGACATTCCAGCCCCAGAGGTGAGAACACGGGTTAAACTGTATAGTGCTCTGATGCATGAAACACTGTGGGGGGGCCAGAACGAAATTCAAAAACCAGTTCTAAATGGCAGTAACTCACCCATTCAGGTGTGCGGAGAGCACAGAGCAGACAGACAATAGCTTCCAGCCCACCAGACATTGTCTGAATGGCTCTCCAAGACCCTCAAAGGGCCACCCTGGCAAGCAGCCTGGAGCACACAAAAAAGGAGTGCCCCACAGAGACTACGTGTCCCACCATGCAATGCTGCCAAGCAAAACTCCATGAGATCACTGGATGCTGGGACTCAGTCTCTTGAGGCCACCAACTGGCAACCTGTGCCAGGTCATTGCTCCATCTCCGCCCCATGGCAGGATGGCCATGAACATGTCAGGGCTCTACCTGAAGGCCAGCAGCACAGAAGAGCAGCTTGAGGATCTGCTGGGCCGTCGAGGACTCCATGGTCTCATTCCGGGCCGCCAGGGAGATGTCATCTGGGTGTGCGGACTTGGCCTCGCTGCCAAAGACACACGACTTGATGACGGGGAAGCAAATGCCACGGCCTGGAGGGTTGAGAGAACCAGGGAGGTCACGTTAACTCAGGAGGGAGGCTTTCTTCCCTCCCAACCCCCCCTGCCAGTGCTAACCCACCCACCAACCTGTCTGGGCTGTGCCAAGGTAGAGTCTGGGGCCTTCTGTGGCCTGTATCTATAAAGCACCTTCAATTGGCTCACTCACACCTCCAATCCCCCTTTGCCAACAGGGCCCTTCCCAGCTGAGAACAGACAGTAGGCAGGCGCCCAGAGCTGAGAGCTCACCAGTTTGCAGATCTGAGGGGCTCTGCGCATTACCCACAGTGCCCTATACCGTTTGCTCTAACAGATTCCAGAATATCTAACAGGAAACAGCCACAGTGGTCACTGTTGAGATAAAGCCGTGGAGATGAGCTAGATGAATTTGGCTGTCTCCGGGTAGCTCCTAGCTGTCACTGAAGCAGCGAGAGAGCTCTGCAAGGGGCTGGAACAGCAGAGAGGTAGAGGAGCTGGGGGTTGGAACTGAGGTGCATTGGCAGAGGTCTGAGGTGAGCCCAGGGGGACGGAGGTTGGAATTGAGGTGCATTGGTCCCCTCTTACCTGTCTCCAGGTAATTCTTTCTCTTGAAGTACTGGATGAGCAGAAACCCTGGCACCATGATGCTCGCATAGCCCGCAGCATTAAGGAAGAAACGGAAGAGCCAGAAGTCCCCCCAGGAGTCCTGTAGGGCGGCCGATACCACTTCATTGGCAGCCATGGTGGGGAGAGCGGCCAGCACGACAGCCAGGCACAACCTGCCAAGAGAAGGCAATCCAGGCGGTGAGCTGCAGGGGGTACACTGGCCCAGCCAGCAATACCAGGATTCCTTCCACCTTCCCAGTCACCAAGTCAGAGGCAAGCTGGGAGTGTAAGGTCCCCTCCCCCTGCTTTGGGAGTTACCCAGGTGCACCTTCAACACGCGACACTGTGATCAAAGTTCAGCCCAAATGGAACATTGGTGTAAGTCACCAGGGAACAGGGGAAAACTTCTCAGCAGTTTGAAGTGCGTCCCAGCTAAATTCCATTCAGCCTCCCTAAACGCCTCCCCAGTTTCAATTGGGTACAGGAGTCTTCCTCCCTTCTCGTCGGGTGTTGGTGTGAGACTGTCAAACAGTTGTTGCGTCCACCCCCAGAGGTGGCTACGTTTCGGGGGCGGGAGAAGCAACTCCAGTGTGCAGGGCGCTTGGAGGTCAAGGGCACAAGAGAAAGGAATGTTGTTTGCTCAGGTTTTAGGAGCCAGGGCGTTTGCAGCTCTGAACATTCAGGCTCTCGGAGTGTCTTGGATGGTGCTAGTGACATGGCTTTACACACACACCAGCTCCAAATGCTTTTCCTCTTTGGGGCTGTCACTGGCAGGTGTTTCACCTTCAGCCGCACTTTTATTGGGGGGGGGGGGGGGAGGCCACGAAATGGAAGCAGCAGCTCCCGCTCTGCAGCTCCTGTTTCAGCACCTTCCTGTAAAGCAAACAATTGCGGTGGCTCAGGGGAGGGCCCAGCTGGGAGCTCCCCCTCACATCCTGCTGCAGCAGGGGGAGGTGGGGAAGGTGCTGACGGGACACACAGAGCTTAGAATGTGCAAGGCCATTCGCTAGAGCTGAGAGGCTCTCCAATCTCCAAGGCTCATCCTCAATGCCAGAGAGAGCATCTGGGCTCAGGAACTTTCCCATAGGCATATGGGGTGGGGATTTTAATACCACCCTCCTTGGGAGTATCCAGCATTCACACCACACCGGCTTAGCCACCAATCTGCCACTATTAACACAGTAGGGGTCCACAGGGACCAACTGGGGTTCTCCCCCACATGGGATAGGCCCAGCATCGCCCTCACCTCCACCTCATCTCCTGGGACAGTGTTACATTACAAGAACAGGAACAAGGCCTGCATGCAAGGTGGAGATCTGGGTCAGCGGATGCTGGAGTCACTGCATCCCCCAAATGATGATGTCCTATACACACACCTGCCCACAGCAATTAGACTGGGTCAGAGCCGCCTATTAAGTTAGATCAGGGCACTGGGGGGGTCAGGACTCCTGGGTTCTATTCCTGGCAACTACTGATTTAATCTGTGGCCTTGGGCAAGTCCCTTCCCAGGCTCACGCCTCCGTTTCCCTGGTTGTAAAACAGAGATGATGATAGGGGCTATGAGGCTGAATTAATGTCAAGTGCTGCGGGGTCCTCTCATGGAAGTGGCCAGAGAAGGGTAAAGTGTTCATTATAACAAAGATGCATTGATGGGTCCTCTAGGGAGCCTCCATTGAGGACCCTCAGTATCAGGGCTATGGGGATCATGGATATAAATTTATCCCATAGCAGCCTAGCGTCTATATCAGTAACAGGGCCTTAAAGACAGGAAAGAAAGTTGCCTTTGACATCCCACCACCTACAACCTCTCCTTTCCCTCTTAGGGAAAGGCCTGGGGGGCATTTCCCTTCCCCAAACAGCCTTGAGAAAGGGACACCCAAACTCTAAGGACCTTGTCAAGACAGACACCGCAATCTGAGCAGAAAATTCCCTCCCTCATGTGACTAACAATACAGAAACTCTCAGCCCAGAGAAGTTCAAACTGCTGCTCCTCTCTGGGGCTGTCTGGTTCACATTATCACATGCTGGGTGCTGACATAGCAGGGAAACAGTTCGATAACCCTGGTGTCCCTAAGGAAGAGAGGGGCCCGAGAACATTTCTGTGCAGGCTGGGTTCTTGCTAGCAACATTGAGGGCATCACTGACTTAGCACCATCCCACAGAATTCCCACCTCTGCTCCCCTCATTAGCATCTCCTGCAGCAAGGGACACACACACAGGGTTCTTGTACGTTAACCCCTGGGCCCAACCGTAAGCATCTGGGGTGAAACTACATACACCCCCCCACCTAACTTGTCTGAATTGTCCTCATTCTGAATTAAATCCTCATTGATCACAGTGGCCATGGTACCTTGGACACTGGGGTGGGGCCAGCAGGAGAAGTGCCCCCTGCTTCACTGAGGTCAGATTTAAACTACATTGAACTGCAGGAGTGGGGTCGGGGCTAGCAGACAGGGTATATCCTTCTCACCTGATACTTGGACCAGCACCTGTGCTGAGGATAGCAAGAGGGGTCAGCCAGGGAGAGAGCTAAGGCCAGCCTCCACCACTGATAATCCCTAGGGCTGGGGAGATATCAGAGAGGGTGAGTGATAAACGGTTTGGTAGTTGGGTGGTGTCTGCTGATACCTCCCTGGCCCCCTCCAAGCCCCCGTGGGAGGAGTATCAGCTCTGGTATCCCAGGCCCAAAGTGAAGGGGAGGGTGCAGCCGGACAATGGCTCGCTCTATCCCTTTAGCTAGCAGGCCCCGCCAGACAGTTCCACGCACCAGGTCCCTCCCCTCTCCAACAGGGTGGCTAGTGTTACAGGTAGCACCGCAGAGCCAGAGCTCGGCAGCACTCACCAGGCATGAAAGGAGCTTTCATAGGCTCAGGCCCACAGAGTGGCCAAGAAATTGGGAGGACAAACCCAGCTACTGTTCCCCTTCCCAGAGAAGGGGCAGCTTTCTGACGCACAATCCCAAAGCCAGGGCGGGACAGAGCCCCTGACCCTCCCCTTCCCCTGGAGTTTCTAACTTAGCCTTTCAGGCACCTCAGCACTTGGGCCCTGGACTAGGAGTCGGGAAAGACCCCTCTGTGCAGAGTAAAACCCACCTAACCTAGCTCAACTCTAAGACTACAGGGAAGGGGAGAGAGGAACCCTTAGAACAAACAAATCCCCTGCCCCATGGGCTCCTCACACAGCTCCTTGGTCACAACCTGCAGTCCCCACCCTGCTGTTCCAGCCCTGGTTCCCCCCACCCCCAGCTCAGCCAGTGCCCCATAATCCTGACCCACAGCCTCCTGCTATCCTCACGCTGGGCTCCCCACATGCAGCTCCACCCATGCCCCTCACTCCTGACACCACTGCTGGTGCCTATTTAAAGAGGCCAAACCAGATGTCAGTGCCATTGCAGCAACTTTTCTTCAATTCTTTGGGGGAGTGGGAGATCACATGACCGGCTATGTTCATCCACCCAGTGGGAGTTCCCATCCCACCCAACGGACGAGCCATAGCCCCTGGATTTCTACAGCAGACTGACCTTGACAGAGCCTGATCTGCCAGCAGCATGGAGCCTGGAGGGGGACGCATGGGCTGCAACAAGTCTCTCCCTCAGCAGCCTTCAGGGCCACAGTGAACTTGGCAGACCTTATCTAGCTCCCTGTGCAGAGTATTACCAGCAGGACACTCCTGCGGTGGTGGAACAGAGGGTGTCAACATCACTCAGTCAACAAGGGAAGGGCCTGGCTCCAGGAGGCCTTGGGCTTCTCTGGCATGTGAGGGGGCACTCTGATCTGGGGGGGAACATTTCTTGCTTCAAAGGTTGGGGGGTGAGGGGGGGTTAGGCTCCTCCATCCCCAAACTAACAGGTGGTGCCAAGTTACCAGCATTCTGTCTTTTTTGATTTGTCTATTAGGGACAGATTTTCCAAAAGGGCTCAGTGCCTTATAGAAAATCAGGCCATAAGTATCACAGTGGGAATGGAGTGCTACAGAAAATATGCTCCTGACTCTGGTTCCTCAGTGGGAGCTGAGCACTTGACCATCTGGCCACAAATGAGCATGCTGAGCTCTTTTGAAAAAAGCTGCCCCTCTGCAGTGATCAGGCCTGGGAGAGTCCTAGCCAGGCCATGGGGACTCTGGAGAACACCCTAGGAGGAGGGAAAAGCTTGGAGACTAAAGTCTGAATGACGGCTGAGCCCAGGGAAATCTAGCTCCAGCCAGTCCTGATCTAGGTGTCATATACCACCAGAGGAGCCATTCTCAGGGGGATCCCTTGAATTACTCCTTCCTTCAGCACAGGGGTTCTCAACCTTTTCCTTTCTGAGGACCCCCAACATGCTATACAAACTCCATGGCCCACCTGTGCCACAACAACTGGTTTTCTGCTAAGACCAGCATTAGGGGATAGCAAGCAGGGCGACTGCCCAGGGCCCCATGCCACAGGGGGCATCGCGAAGCTAAGTTGCTCAGGCTTCGGCTTTAGCCCCGGGTGGTGGGGCTTGGGGCCCTGGGGCTGCAGTCCTGCACAGTGGGGCTTTGGCTTTCTGCTGTGGGTCCTAGCGAGTCTAATACCGGCCATGCTTGGCGGACTCCCTGAAACCTACTCGCTGCCTCCCAATGGGGCCCAGGCCCCTGGCTGAGAATCACTGATCCAGCATACTGGTGCCATTGGCCAATTTGCTCAGTGAGACCCAGACCCTGCAGGCCATGCAGACACCAAGCTCCCTTAGAAAGCACAGTACCTACACCACACACACCAGAGTGACCATAGGCAACTTCCAGTGAGAAACCTCTTCACTGGCTCAATGCCACCTGCCTCTGGGGGGGCTCTACCCCAAAGCCAGGGCCCTGCTTAGGGATCGTTTCTAATAAAGGTCTCACACCCGGCCACAAGGACCCTGCAGGCCAGAGGCAGATGCCCTGCGCTGTTCCCAAGCAAGTCCGTGCTGCCCACTTCCCCAATTCAGGGTTGGGCCAAGACGTGGCTCAGGGAAAGGGCCCGCATGGGCTAATCTATTCACCGGTCACTCCAGGCAAATGCCAGCCCTGCCTCGGGCAGCTTCCCAACCACCTATTTGTGTCCGGGGCAGGAAGCAGCGCTAGGGTCCCGGTCCCGGTCCCGCTCCCACCCCAGGGGCTGCTGTACTGGGACGTGCTGGGAGGGTGACAGCCGGGAACCCAGATCCAGGCTGATCGCCCCGCTCCAGGAGGGGCTTGGCTCTGCCCAGCACCCTGGAGCCGCACAGCCCTGCAGCAGAGCCCAGCCCGATCCCGCCTCCCACAGCAGCTGATCGGGGGCACTCACCGGGGAGCCTGCCCCCGACCCCGGCTGAGCCCCGCTGCAGGAGGCGGCTGCCCCACAGCCCTTCCCAAACCTGCTGTGCAAGTGGGGCTCGGGCCGGGCCGGCCGCTCCCTTACAGGGGCCCGGGCACGGAGCCAGCGCTACGGCCGGCGGGATCCGACTCCCCCCGGAGCCCTCGCCCCCACCTGCGGCCCATGCTGCCGGCCGGGCCAGTGCGCGCGGCTCCGCGGCCGCCCCGCGCGCCCATGAGCTCCCCGCGGCGGCTCCGTCCAGTTCGGCGGGCGGCGGCGGCAGAGACGGGAACCGCGCAGCTCGGCCGAGAGCGCAGCCGCGCCGCTCCCCACAGCGCCGCCCGGCGGCCGGGAGGGGCCCCGAGGGCAGGAGCGTCCTGCACCACCCTGCACTGGGATTCAGTGCTCACTATGGCTCTAGGAGGAGGCAGTCTGGGGTCTCTTGCCTGGGGCAGGGAGCGCCTCTCAGTTCAGTCACACACCTTTCGCCAGAGAGCTGGGCTGCAGGCAATGCGGTCTCCCTCTTCCTCAAGCCGGGGCTGCCTCAGCAGGCACATGAAACCCCCCCCTAGGAACAGCATAGCTTGCGCCCAACCTTGGCCCAGCAGCCTGGGGCAGTGGCCCAGGGCCAACAGAGCTCAACTGGGGTAAGGGCACACGCTGATGTGGATTTGCTTTAGAGAGGCACTCGGCTCCCTCCACAGCCCACTGGGAATGCTCCCTGAAGGGTAGTCTGTCTGTTAGGAGACAAAGCAGGGCTTCCAGGAGGTTGTAACCATCACTTGCTCCCTCCTCCTCCCAGGGCAGAGTCCCGCATCCACACACTGCTGTAGCCAGTGCAGCTACCCACCAAGCCCTGCCCCATGGGAAAGAGGGGAAATCAGCCTTTATGGGCCACTCAGTTCCTGGCCTCACTGCTGACAAACTGGGAGCTAATCAGTGCCCCTGGGGATGGGAACCTCAGGGAATAGGACTCTCCCTGCCCTTCCCTAACTAATTTCACATAGGCCACCAAAGCAGCACCAGATCCTACTCTGGCTTCAGACCCTTGGCCTAGAGATGAAATGCTCCACAGAAGAAAGAGCCGTTGCCCTTTCCTAGCCCAATCACAGGATTTCAGGGTGCTTTACCCACTCCCCATTGTATAGAGTAGGATGCTGAGGCACCGAGGAGGAATTTACTCACCTAGGATCATAGTAAAGTGGTTGCAGAGATAACTGAGGGATAGAGGCCTGAAGCCCTGGCTGCCAGTCTCCTCCCCTAGCCACCAGAATGGCCATTCTGGGTAATGGTCCATCTAGCAGAGTATCTGGTCTTCCAATGGTGGCTGGTGCCAGCTGCTTCAAAGGGAACGAACAGAAGGAGGCAACTATCAAGCGATCAAACCAGTCCCAGCTTCTGGCAGTCAGGGGCCGAGGCTAGGGCCATCCAGAACATGGGGTTGTGGCCATGACCACCTTAGCTAACAGCCAGTGATGGACCTAGCCTCCCATGAACTTATCAAATTCTTTTTAAAATCTTATTATAGCATTAGCTTTCACAACATGCCCTCAACAAGTTCCACAGGGTGACTGCGCGCATCGTGAGTACATCCTTTTGCTTTAAACATGGTGCCTATTCATTTCATTGGGTAAATAACACTTCCTTATTCATTTTCTCCACACCATTAATGATTTTATAGACCTTTATCATATCCCCCTTAGGCATCTCTTTTCTAAGCTGAAAAGTTGTAGTCTTTTTAATCTCTCCTCCTATGGAAGCTGTTCCATACCCTTAATTATTTTTGTTGTCCTTCTCTGTACCTTTTCCATTTCTAATATATCCTATTTGAGATGGGACAACCAGAACTGCACACAGTATTCAAGGGTGGCATACCACCCTTGTGGCATGATATTTTCTAATTTATCCCTTTCCAAATGGTTCCTAACATCGTTACCTTTTTTGATAGCTGCTGCACATTGAGCAGAGGTTTTCAGAGAACTATCCACAGTGACTCTACAATCTCTTTCTTAAGTGGTAGCAGCTCATTTAGACCCCATCATTTTGTATGTATAGTTGGAATTATGTTTTCCAATGTGCATTTAGCAACACTGAATTTCATCTGCAGTTTTGTTGCCCAGTCACTCAGTTTTGTGAGACACCAGACCACACTC